AGGGGTCGTCCCACACCTGCTGAAAACAACAGACAGCTCCACTCCACAAAGGTGGCAGTAAAGAAATAGCAAAGAACTACTGACCAATAACGCTAGCATCCCATGTCGTAAAAATCTTTGAAAGGGTTCTAGGAAGCAAGATCGCCCTCATCTAGATACCCATCAGTTACACAATCCAGGACAACATGGGTTTAGAGCAGGTCGGTCGCTCCTGCCTATCCAAACTACTAGACCACAATGACAAGGTCCTGGATGCTCTGGAAGACAAACTGTAGATGCAAAAGACTTTGCAATAGCCTTTGACAAGTGTGACCATGGTGTAATAGCGCACAAAATGCATGACAAAGGACTAACAGGAAAAGTTGGTAAATGGATCTATAATTTCCTAACAGATAGAACACAAAGAGTAGTAGTAAACAGAGTAAAGTCTGAAGCGGCTATGGTGAAAAGCTCTTTTCCACAAGGCACAGTAGTCGCTCCCATCTTGTTCTTCATCCTCATTTCTGACTTAGACAGGGATGTAAGCCACAACACTGTATCTTCCTTTACAGATGACACCCGAATTAGCATGACAGTGTCCTCCACTGAAGACACTGCAAGACTCCAGGCGGACATCAACCAAATCTTTAAATGGGTCGCAGAAAACAATATGAAGTTCAATGGTGAGAAATTTCAATTACTCCTATATGGAAAGCGTGACGAAATTAAAATTATATCGGAGTATAAAACATTCCAACCACACAATAGAGCGAAAAACTAATGTAAAAAACCTGGGAGTGATAATATCAGAGGATCTCACTTTCAAAGACCAGAACATTGTATCAATCGCATCTGTTAGAAAAATGACAGAATGGATAATGAGAACCTTCAAAACTAGGGATGTCAAGCCCATGATGACATTATTCAGGTCGCTTGTTCTATCTAGGCTGGAATATTGCTGCACATTAACAGCACCTTTGAAGGCAGGTGAAATTGCTGACCTAGAAAATGTACAGAGAACCTTCACGGCACACATAACTGCGATAAAACACCTCAATTACTGGGAACGCTTGAAGTTACTCAACCTGTACTCTCTAGAACGCAGGCGGGAGAGATACATTATTATATGTGCTTGGAAAATCCTAGAGGGATTAGTGCGAAACTTGCACTCGAAAATCATCCCCTATGAAAGCAAAAGACTCGTCAGACGATGCAACATCCTCCCGATGAAAAACAGGGGCGCCACTAGCACGATAAGAGACAACACAATAAGTGTCAGTGTCCCAAGACTATTCAACTGCCTACCAGCATACATAAGGGGGATTACCAATAGACCCCTGGCTGTCTTCAAGAAGGCGCTGGACAGGCACCTAAAGTCAGTACCTGACTAGCCGGGCTGTGGTTCGTATGTCGGGTTGCGTGCGGCCAACAGTTCCCTAAAGTAATCAACAGTAACAGCCTGGTTGATCAGGCCCTGATCCACCATGAGGCCTGGTCACACACCGGGCCGCGGGGGCGTTGACCCCCGAGACCCTCTCCAGGATCATTTTTTAAGGCCTCATTTAGATCATATGGCTCAGTTCTGATCTCTCTATTCTACGCATGTTTGTCAATGTATTAGAGTATATAGTGAGAAGGATACCAGAGTTAATCCATTATACAAGGGATTTTTCTTGTTAAGATAGACCGAGATTATTTATTTAGCATTCTCTGAATGTGCGTAGAATGAAAGTTGAGATGACTGAGGTATACAAGTGGAGAACAAGTATAAATAAAAGAGATATATGGTGATAATGATATCTAAGTGAAAACATGTATTTAAGTTTATAAATTCAGATTTAGGAAACTTTAGACAAGAACATGTTTGACATTTGAGTTGTAAACGAGTGAAGCAATATAACCAGTAGCTCCGCTTTATCTAATACTGCACTATCCATAGTAATTTAGCGCTTCTCTAGCATAATAATAACAATAATAGTAATAATAATAATAATAATAATAATAATAATAATAATAATAATAATAATAATAATAATAATAATAGTAATAATAATAATAATAATAATAATAATAATAATAATAATAATAATAATAATAACAATAATAGTAATAATAATAATAATAATAATAATAATAATAATAATAATAACAATAATAGTAATAATAATAATAATAATAATAATAATAATAATAATAATAATAATAATAATAATAATAACAATAATAGTAATAATAATAATAATAATAATAATAATAATAATAATAATAATAACAATAATAGTAATAATAATAATAACAATAATAATAATAATAATAATAATAATAATTTGAACAAAGGGTTCGAGCTCTCAACCTTTCAGTCCCATAAGAAAGTGTCTTGATCCCAGGAACTGGAGCATCTCTCCGCTTCATGGGATAAAACCTGGTTACCCTCCACACATGAATAAGACATAATAAAACATTACAGTGAGAAGACATTTCGCCCACCAGTGACTGCTGCTCCTCCAAACACTAATAGCAGTATCATGTCCGTTAAGAATAAGTCAGGTCAGGGTTTCTAAAATTAAGAGTAATCCTGATTTCTGTGTGAGGATGTTAGTGGTGGAGATCAGAGCAGATTCTAAGCTCAGCCAGTTACGTCTGTCTGTTTCCTTGATAACAAGTTTGTATTGGGGAAGTTCATCGGATGTTTTTCCGTGTTTTGGTATATAGTACAAGCATTGGTGTTGCATGATATGTTAGCAACCCTAATGGTGGCTTTGGCTTAGGATTTAGAGAGGCTCTTGTTTGTGTTTATGACAGATAGAACTATATATCTGTTATATATTACCTCAGAGCCTTGTTAGATTGGAGGCTGTGCCTCCAATCTAACAAGATACTAATGCCAACAAATAAATCCCCCCAGCATATAAGCAGTACATCCTCATTTGCACTTGTGATCATACGTGGCCTTAAGCTATCCACCATCAACAAAATACGTTTCATTAGTGGACTTTTTGTGGAGTCAAATGCGAAGTTTGTGGCATTCACAGAGACTAACACAAAAGACCACTTTGACAACCAAATATTTATAACAGGGTACAACTTATTAGATTTGACCAAAAGAACAGGTAATAAGGGGGGGGGGTTGGCCTGTATGTCAAGGAGGCACTTATTCACAGTTACTAAACACCACGAATGATGTAGTTAAAGTTTGAGAACCAAAGAAGAACACCGAGAACCAAAACCTAGTAATTATGATTGTATATAATCTACCAGATGCAACTTTTCAACAACTCAAAAAAAAGTTGTTGAAAATTGATTACCGTCTGGAAAACCTTCTAACCCCAGCCCCAAATATCTTTCTGCTTAGTGATTTTTAATTTATGACATGCAAAATGGAAGAATGTAACAAATAATGTTATAGCAAAGATAATCCTTGGTGGCAGATCAAATGAAGTCACACACACATGAACTGCTAAGTCCCTGCAATAAACTCATCCTAGGGAAGCAGATAGTGAAGCCAACAAAACTGGAAAACACAGCTGACTTTATTTTCACGAATAATGATGACATGGTAAGAAATATAACAGTATCAAAGACAGTTAATTCAGATGACAACCTAATCGAAATTCAGACGTGTATACAAAGGGATCCTGACAAACAAAATGCATACAGTTACTAGGATGTCCTCACCAAATTCAGCTTTAACAATAAGAACATCGACTGGGATCAAATAAATCAAGTCCTTAATGCAACATGCTGAGAAAATATCGTAATGATGGTGATTTAAGATCAGTGGTCAAAACGCTCGGCTGCATCATCTCCGTCACACCCTTCTCCTTTGGAAAGTGTTCTTCATTATGGAACTGATTCTACCTCCAGGCATTTGTCTCCAGGCAGGTGCCTTGAGAAAAAAATTAACAAGGATCCGAACCAGTGTCTTGGCAGCTGAAGTATGTTCTAAGCATATTCCCCCAAGGAAAAAGAATAGAAGAGGTAAACTAGAAAGAGAGAGATGCTCCCTATACAGGCGAAAGCAAAGAATCACTGAGCTTCTAAAGATGGCTAAATTATCTGAAATACGGAAGGAAACACAGACTGACGATGTAGAAAATACTGAAATTAACTCAAATGATTCATACAGGATCCAGAAGAAACAAAAGTAGATAAAAGCAATTAATAAAATTGAAAAAAATCCAAAACATTTCTTTTCATATGTCAAAAACAAACACCACATCCAGTATCGGGCCCTTGCTTAAACAAAATGATACACAAACGACGGCAAATAAATGAGTGAGATGCTGAAGTTTCAGTATGACTGTGTTTAATGAATAATTAATCAAACTAAAGTTCAACAGTCTAAATGAACTCTTCATGAACGAGCCTCAAAACATTTTCATTATATGCCAAATTCATGATATAACCTTAACTCTAATGGACTTTTAAATAGCCATTGACAATATGCCCATACATGTTAAAATGAACAGAGATAACTGATTAGAATATTTTATGTATATGATACAATAACAGTGAGAACTCAAGGAAATGAGACACCTGAGCATGCTAATAGACTATGTACGCACGTGTGTGTTGTGTGTGTTGTGTGTGTGTGTTGTGTGTGTGTTGTGTTGTGTGTGTGTGTGTGTGTGTGTGTGTGTGTGTGTGTGTGTGTGTGTGTGTGTGTGTGTGTGTGTGTGTGTGTGTACTCAATTGTATTCAGCTAACTGTGGTTACAGGGGTCGAATCATAGCTCTTGGCTCCGCTTCTTCATTGGTCGCTACCAGATACGTGTGTTTGAGCACACTAATAACATTCGCGTATTTTTTCACTGGTATTATTATATTATTGTATTAACACAATCATTCACTCTAAAGTAATTCTTTGCCACAAAAACACTAAAGCAAAAAGAACAATCGTGAAGCGAACAAGAGAAATATTTATAGCAGCCGTACAAGCGAGACATGAATAATAGCTATCTGTAAGGACTAATATTTACTGTAGTTGTTACTAATACAAGTTACTAACAGTAACTCTAGTAGCTGTCACTAATACATGTTACAAACGGTAACACTGACACTAATTCCATCTCATACACGCAACTGACAGTTTGCGCAGCTGTGACACAGGGGTCGATCTACGGTCTGTCTGGGATCTTCCCATCCACATGCATCAACAGCATGTACTCCGGCCAGGCCATCGCTGGGGTGTTCTCCTCCCTGGCCCGCATCATCTCCCTCCTGCTGGGAGACGAACCAATCACCAGTGGACTCATCTTCTTCGCCATCGCCGACGTCTTCTTAGTCTTTTCCATTATAGAATATATTTTTCTCACTAAAATGGTAAGTTTAGAACACCGAACCTATTTTTGCCTAGAATTAAGCCTGTTGTTCTTCCGTTCACTAGGATCTGTATCACCTCTATAGGTTAATTTCGTCCCCATGAGGTTAATGTGAAACCCAAAGCACTTGTCCTTTGTTATAATTGACTCTAGTAGTTTTCTCCCTCTAGCTTAGTGCAAGTTAAAAAAAACGTACATTGTGCGGCATAAGTTTTTAATGCAATTAAATATCAGCATTGAAGATTTGAAGCGAATCAGGAGATACATTCACAAGTTATTATATGGAAACTTATGTCACAGTTGCTTAGTCAAAAATGGCAGATTGGAACCTACGTAGCCAAAAACTAATTCAGACCTGCCACTACGAGATACCCGTTTTGAAGGTTTAAAATAAATCAGAAGAGACATTCTCTAATATCACAGAGGACAGTATCTAGGAGAAAAAGAAGCAGCATTTTAAATCTGAAGCAGCTCCGATATTGCATTCGTAAGTTATTATTGAAGTTGTTTCAGCAAGACACTCGTAAATTATCTTATAAAAGTTGTTTCAATCTTTTTTCATTTCTTCAATAATAAGAGCAAATTGACATTGTCCAGTTACTTCACTGATACCAATTTATTTAATAAACCTGACAAATTCAGCAGCGTGTATCTTCCTTGTCTAGTGTGATCATTATCCTGAACCTGACTGCAAGAACTGGGGCGCCCGAAGTGTGCACTTCTAAGAGTACCAAACAAAACAGAAAGTGACTTTTTGCCAGAACGCTGCACCTGTGGTGATGGGTCTGAGGGAGACCCTTGTCTTGTGGTTTTCAGGGTGACCATACATACACATCTCGTATCCTTATACTCTATAACATACCAACAACTCCTTTTAAATTATTGATAATTATGAACCCCAGAAATCAGTATGGTCTCATTCATTTCTGGTCTCACTCTTACGCTAGAACCAAAGAAGGTGTTCCGTTGGGTTTCATTCTAAGGGCTCTTAGAATCTAATGCCCCGATTTATTGAAAAAACGAGTTCTTAAAATCACGGAGATATTCAGCAGTTTACATTTTCCTGCCACTTTTATACGAAATTACAGAAGGAGAGCACAGAGAATAATGTGAAAGACCTGGAAGTGATAATGTCAGAGGATTTCACCTTCAAAAACCACAACAGAGTATCTATCTCATCTGCTAGAAAAATGATAAGATGGATTATGAGAACCTTCAAAACTTGGAACGCCAAACCCATGATGATACTCTTCAAATCGCTTGCTCTCTCTAGGGTGGAATACTGTTGTACGCTGTCTCCTTCAAGGCAGGCGAAATTGCTGACCTGGAGAATGTACAGAGATCTTTCACGACACACATAAATACGATAAAGTACCTACGTAAATTACTGGGAACGGCTGAAGTCCCATAATTTGTATTCCCTGGAACTCAGGCGAGAAAAATACATGATAATATACACTTGGAAAATCCTAGAGGGATTAGTACCAAACTTGCACGCGAAAATCACTCCCTACAAAAGGAAAAGGCTCGGCAGGAGATGCAACATTCCCCCAATGAAAAGCAGGTGCTCCACGAGTACACTAAAAAAAAAAAACATAAATGTCAGAGGCCCAAGACTGTTTAACTGTCTCCCAGCATACATAAGAAGGATTACCAATAGACCCCTGGCTGCCTTCAAGAAGGCGTTGAACAGGCAACTAAAGTCAGTACCTGACCAGCTGGGCTGTGGTTAGCAAGTCGGGTTGCGTGACGCAAGCAGTAACAGCCTGGCTGATCAGGCACTGATCCACCACAAGGCCTGGCTTCAGACCGGGCTGCGGGGGCGTTGACCCCCGAAACCCTTTCCAGGTAATTTCCAGACAGACATACCCCTCTAGGGAGGTTCCTTGATAGCGGTGAGGGGCTCTTGATCTAGGGAATTGGATGTGTGCTCCAGTTCCTCTATAACTGAGCCTGAATGCCTTCGATCCCCCCCACCACAGGCGATGTATAATCCCTACGGGTTTAGCGCTCCTCTATGATTAATAATAATAATGATAACATTTTTTCCACAGTACCCGAGATTACATAAGAAAGTCAATTACATCCTCAACACTGTCATCACCTCCGATAAACATATTACTAAGTTTAAATGGGTTAACGTTAGTTCCAAAGGGAATGCAGACATCTACACTATTCCTTGTAGTTTAATTCATGTTAAGCGCTAAACCCATGTGTGTTATTTTGCGCAAGACGTGGTGCAGGCTTGATCCTCCGTCTGCTGAGCTCGAGACAGATGCCCTTCCTATCTGTAGCAGTTGTAACATAGCGTTCATGTGTTAGACGATTAGGGATTAGTCCATACATGTGTACCAACTGCAGTACATCAACAAAGCTGTGTTTTACATTTTAACACGGCTTTACACCACATGGTTTGGTCCAGGGTGAGTATCTGAGAACAAAACAGGAATCAGCTCTCATTCACACTATAGACACCATCACTCAGAACCAGGGAAGTTTGCAGTTGGTGGGACCCCTGACTGCCGTGCTCCTCAGCACACATCGCCCTCCTGACCCGACATAGTCAGGTCACCACCTCGGTAAACGGTTCCATGTTATCATAGTGCTTTTTTTATCAGTTTCAGCTATTATTATTATTATTATTATTATTATTATTATTATCATTATTATTATTATTATTATTATTATTATTATTATTATTATTATTATTATTATATGAATTCCTAAAAAAAATGCCTGATGTGGCTTTCAGACATATTACGCAGAGATGAAGAGCGATTCGGAGAAGAAGGAAGTCCTGGAGACTCAACCAGAGGTCAAAAGTAACTGGGCGTCCTACCTGGTGGTCTTCAAGAAGGTCAGTGGATGCCTTTTATGACTCAAACCTTACTAGTACAACCTTCTCTCACTTCAAGTGCACTTAGCTGTTATTGCCGACAACATAGTTACTCAGGTATTGTTGGTGATGCAGACTGGTACTCAGGTATTGCTGGTGATGCAGACTATTACTCAGGTATTGCTGGTGATGCAGACTGGTACTCAGGTATTGCTGGTGATACAGACTGGTACTCAGGTATTGCTGGTGATGCAGACTGGTACTCAGGTATTGTTGGTGATGCAGACTGGTACTCAGGTATTACTGATGATGCAGACTGGTACTCAGGTATTGCTGGTGATGCAGACTGGTACTCAGGTATTGCTGGTGATGCAGACTGGTACTCAGGTATTGCTGATGATGCAGACTGGTACTCAGGTATTGCTGATGATGCAGACTGGCACTCGAGTAAGGGATTCAGTACAAAATAGCAAGAATGATAATATGAATATTTTAAGGAATACATTATTTTAATTTGTTAGAGCATATTATAATGACAGCAACGGAAAAAAATACAGAAATATCAGCCTGAGGCATTGATCGATCTTATTGAATTTGTTGGGGTATAAAGCAGTCACTGATGTGTCCTCTGGAACCTACATAAAAAATTTTTAGATTTCGGTTTTCAATTATCCCAGACGATGTTATATTTACTTAAATGATGTCGGGTTGTTTGAACTTGCGACGTGTGACGCATCATCATGCAGGGGAGTTTGACTTGTTTTGTTCAATAGACAATTGAATTATCTTTTGTTTACAGAGTTCTGAAAATTTTTAAAACTTCCATCCTTGCCTGTGAGGTATTTTTTTTTTTTTTGTACAGAGTAATGAAACGTATTTATTTAATATAGGTTTCATGAAAACTTGCCATATATGTTAGTTTGTCAGTTGTATCTTTCAGTATAATTCTATTATAATTCCAGCAAAACAGTTACTTCCAGAAAAATCTGAACTCCATCTGAAGATCGAATTAAAACTATGTCCATTTTGCATATTGGCTAAATTTCCGAGTCAGACAAAATTTTTTATTTTCTTCAAATGTTTGGGACGTGAGGTTCCACGTGAAGCCACGTCAGGGAAGGCTGATAAAGTCCCCAAGTGACGCTCTAGACGATGCTCGGCCACAGATGCCTCAAAAGCTGGGCAGCCTGGTTCACAAGCCATGTTTCTTCCCAGCTCGGTCACACCAGTCAGCCTCAAGCATGGTATCAAGCTATTTCATTCTCCTTCTGTATGTTCTGACCTCATGAGCGATTTTTATATCAATGCACGTTTGTTTCTGCGTGGTTTGTAAACATCGAAGCCACGTCAGCCTTCCCTGACGTGGCTTTGACTCTGTTGTCTGCGATCTCTTTCTCTCTCAACAAATGTCGAAAAATAATGAAATTCCAAACGCTTTCATGATTTTTCACATTATCAAGGACCTATAAAAATATCAGAAAAGCAGAAGGCTTTATAAGGCTGACGTATCACCTCACAGTCACGTCCGACATCACGTCCTGTTATGGTACGTGTAAGATGGTCAAGGACTTGTCATACATAGCTTAAATTCTTTCCAAATTTTTTTAATTAATGGATGGCTAAAATCCCTCACATCCAATTGGTTTTCAAAAAGCCGAGAAAGTTGTATTATACGGGTCTATGGTTAAAATCTAGTTGAATAAACCTTTATAAAATATAGTTTTGATTTTAATATGAATATTGGTTTAGGATGATACAAATTAGATTCATTTATAAACATCTTATCTCCCTGATACACCCCGTCAACTAACTACACGAATACCACCTGGTGGTTCACACTTACACTCACTCACTCATTTGACCATAAACAAAAATATTAATCTCAATCTTAAAATAATGAATCCTGTGATACTCCAATACTGAAACTATATACTGTGTCAAAACAAAAGCATTCACATTGCTAAACTCACAAACTAGTATTTAGTCACTTAGCCATAATACCAACTTACCTCATAATTTGTAATATTTTAAAATTAAGAATTAAACTAAGTCTGCCCGAATGCCTAGCCATGCTAGGTGTTCTAGTGGTACACTCTGTAATCACTATTTTACTACATGTAAACCACACAATAACCAAATTCTGTAAACTCAGCATTGTAATCCTTATAGAGAATAAACTTTGAATTTGAATTTGAATTTGAATAATTAATAAAATTTGGAAAAAATTAAGCTATGTTTGATAAGTCCTTGACCTTCCCACCCGCTTCATAACGGGATGGTTGTAATGTCGGACGAGACCGTGAGGTGATATTCCATCCTTATATAGCCTTTTGCTTTTCTAATATTTTTACTGGTCTTTGGTAATGTTGGATATATATATATATATATATATATAATATATATATATATATATATATATATATAGATATGGGAGAAAGCCTGGGGCCTTCCTTTAAACCCCACCAAATGTGAAGTAGTGTCTACCAATCAACAGATGATCCAGAATATTAGCGCCGTTTTACCAGGAGCACGAGTCATTGATCCAGCCAATAGCACTCTCCTTGGTGCTCCTCTTGGGTCCAATGCCATCGATCTGATCCTAGAAAAAAAAGTCTCAGACCTCCGGACGATGGAAAGCAGGATGAAAGACACTGACACACACGATGCCTTCTACCTACTCACCAGGTGCCTGTCAGTCCCAAAACTTACCTACTTTCTGAGATGCTCCCCAGCCTTCAGCAGTCCAAAACTCAAGGAATATGACTCTCTCCTGAAGACCATGCTAGAGAGTGTATTGAATCTTTCCCTTGAAGATGGACAGTGGTTGCAAGCCTCACTTTAGGTCAGGCTTGGAGGGCTAGGAGTACGCAGATCCTCCCAGATTGCTCTACCAGCTTTCCTATCCTCTTCCATAGCATCAAACGAGTTGATAAGACAAATTCTTCCTGACACCCTCAGTGACTCAGCAGGAATAGAAGACCCTAGCTATGCCAGTGCCCTCACTGAATGGGAGACTCTTGCTGCTCCAACACCAAACCCTAGTGCAGCACTGGCTCACAAACAATCAAGCTGGGATGGCCAGATCACTGAAAAGGTGCTTGCCAACATGCTCAGGGCTGCAACATCAGATAGGGAGACTGCCCGTCTCCAGGCTGTGAGCGCACCTCACTCTGGGGACTTCCTCCAAACAGCTCCCATATCGGCAATGGGAACGCGACTCGACCCTAAGACCCTCCGTATTGCAGTGGCTCTGCGCCTTGCTGCTCCAATTCACACAGAATATATGTGTATTTGCTGCGAAGCACAAGCAGACCAATACGGTCTACATGGTCTTAACTGTTCCAAAACCAAGGGCTGGCATGCAAGACACAATGAGGTCAACGACATCATAAAGAGAGCCCTTGCTACAGCTGGATGCCCAGCCGAGAGGGAGCCCCAATCACTAGCAGCCAACAATACCCACAACGCTTGGAAGAATGGCAAGCTCTTAGCATGGGACTATACCTGTGTGTCCACACTGGCTGACACCTACATCCATCACAGTATTGGGCGACAGGGAGGAGCTGCTGACCACAGGGAGGAGTACAAGATCAGCAAGTACAGGGACATAAGCCTACAGTATCAATTTGTCCCAGTGGGATCAGAGACCTTGGGATCATGGGGAAAAAATGCCACACGTTTCCTTAAAGAATTGGGTTCCAGACTCATCGACACCACCAGGGACCCAAGGGCAGCCACTTTCATGTTCCAGCGCCTCAGCGTGGCCATCCAGATGGGAAATGCTTGCTGCATACTTGGCTTGCGTCCGACTTCGGAGGAGCTGGAGGAAATTCATGATCTTTAATACATTGTACCATTGTATTCATGTTTGTGTTTTTCTGAAAATGTATTCTGTTTATTAATAAATGTTCACATAGAATATAAAACATAGGGGGTGGTAGGAGAAGAAAATATTCAAACAGCTCTGGGGAGAACCTTGAGTTTTCCCTGAGGTACGTTTATTGTCTTCTCTGAGGATGAGGGTCCCCATTCCAGCTATAGAGGTGGTACCTCCCTATATATATATATATATATATATATATATATATATATATATATATATATATATATATATATATATATATATATATATATATATATATATATATAATATACATGTATATATATATATATATATATATATATATATATATATATATATATATATATATATATATACACATATATATATATATATATATATATATATATATATATATATGCAAAACAACCACTCTGAAAAAATAGAGAAATTCCAAGCGCTTTCGTGACTACTCACATTATCAAGGAACTATGAAAGTAAGGCATCCAAGGAAGCTATATAAGGGGTCTGGCCGGCACCTCACTATCAGATCCCACAACGGTTAAACACGTGACGCGCGGCGAGCCAACTTGGATAGGTCCTTGGCACAACTCACCCCACAAACTATTCTACCCAAGAAATAAGAAATTTTAAAGATTATTTGTCCAGTGTATTATTAAATTCTTCCCAAATTCTATTAATTATAAATGGATCTAATTTATATAAACCAAAGGAAATATTCATATTATTGTCAAAACTGCTTTTTATGAAACAAGATTCAATTATATTCCTGTCGACCATGGACTTGCTTGATACTACTTTCTCAACTTTTTGAAAATCAATTGGATGGTTAAAATCCCTTACATGAATAAATAGAGCATATATGTATATATATATATATAGCAAATCGGCCATATCCCACCGAGGCGTGGTGGCCTAAAAAGAAAAGCGAATGTTTTTCTTTTTAATATAATATATAAATTACTAAATATAAAAAGAAAAATGAATGTTTTTCTTTTTATATTTAGTAATTTATATATTATAAGAGGTTATTAGACCCTTGCTCCCAGCATTTTAGTCGCCTCTTACGACACACATGGCTTACGGAGAAAGCATTCTGTCTCACTTCGCCGTGGAGATAAAAGTAAATAAAGAACAAGAACTATTAAGAAAATAGAAGAAAACTTAGATGGGTATGTATATATATGCATGTACATGCATGTGTAGTGTAACTCAAGTGTAAGTATAAGTAGCAAGATATACCTGGTATCCCGCATGTTTATGAGACAGAAAAAAGACAACAGCAGTTCTATCATCATGTAAAACAACTACAGGTTTCTGTTTCACACTCACTTGGCAGGACGGTAGTACCTCCCTGGATGGCTGCTGTCTACCAACCTTCTATGTGCAGATCAACCACTGTGAAAATATAGTGAAATTCCAAGCGTTTTCGTGATTTCTCACATTATCAAGGAACTGTAAAAATAAAAGATCAATAGGAAGGCATGTAAGGACGAGACTACACCTCGCGGTTACCTCACAACACCTGACTTTTTATGATGATGTAAGTAGGTAGACAAGGATCTGTCAAACACAGCTTATATTCTACTTAACAAAATCCTTCCCAGTAGAGCTAAGTGGTACAGATATGTTGATGATATTTTATGTCTTATGCCTAAGAATATAGATATAAACCATTTCCTTGTTAAATTAAATAATCTAGTGTATTCCATAAATTTTACTGTTGAGTTTAAACAAAATAACTCATTGTCTTTAAAAGATGTTTTAAATATTATGGGGAACCATGATTTCAAATTTAAAATTTACAGAAAACCAAATAACTGTTCCAATGTGCGCTATTATTCTTCATCAGTGTTTTTGGGAGCTTTGCACATTTGCAATCCAGAGTTCATGGATGAGGAAATCTTGAAGATTTATGAAATAGTTAGTGATCAAAAATATCCCCGAAATTTTTTTTTTAAATTGCTAGAAATACTTTTTACAATTCAAAAAAGGACAACCATCGTTATTCAACTAAAAATATGTTGGTTCTCCCTTACCATGAAAACTTGGTTGATATGCTTTCTCTACTTAAGAATTTTAATATTAAAGTTGTATTTAAAAATCCTGATACAGTAAAAAAAACTTTTGAAAAAAAAATTCCCCCAGAAATGCTGACGGATGTGTCTATAAGATTCCTTGTAAAATTTGCGATAAAGTTTATTACTGTCAAACTGGTAAAAGTCTCGAACTAAGATTAAAACAAAATAAATATAGCATTAGAACTGGACAAGATTCCAATGCTCTATTTATTCATGTGAGAGATTTTAACCATCCAATTGATTTTCAAAAAGTTGGGAAAGTTGTATCAAGCAAGTCTATGGTTGATAGAAATATAATAGAATCACGTTTCATAAAAAAAAGTAGTTTTGAAAATAATATGAATATTTGTTTTGGTTTATATAAATTAGATCCATTTATAATTAATAAAATTTGGGAAGAATTTAAGATAAATTAGACAAGTTAAATTCTTAATGCTTGGGTAGAATATAAATTGTGTTTCACCTATATCATCATAAAAAATCAGGTGTTGTCAGGTAACCCGAGGTGTAGTCTCATTTTATATGCCTTCCTCTTGATCTTTCATTTTTACAGTTCCTTGATAATGTGAGAAATTATGATAGAGCATAGAATTTCACTATTTTTTTCTCAGTGATTGTTCTGCATATATATGTTTTGCCGAATAGGTAAAACTTGAGATTTTGGCTTAAACAGCCAACACTGTTATTTTCCGAATAAGGCAAGCGAAAATTTGGGTATGTAATAATTTCGCAAAAATCATTCTGAACCTAAGGAAAAAATATGTTTCATTGTGTCTGTTTATTATTAAACTATTGCAAACTTAACGAAAATATATTTAGTTAGATTAAGCAAAATTAAACTGCGCTTGTTATAATAAGGTTAGTTAAGTTTTCCGAGGTTGTTTTGGTACAAAATTATTAATTTTACATTAACATAAATGAAAAAATATATCTTTAAACGTATGAGAGAAAATTTTAGAAAAAAACAATTAATTTAAAATGAGATCTTGCTAATTGGCAAGTTTTACCTATTCGGCACGACATAATTTCAGTGTTATGTATGTATATATATATATATATATATATATATATATATATATATATATATATATATATATAATATATATATATATATATATATATATAATATATATATATATATATATATATATATATATATATTATATATATATATATATATATATATATATATATATATATATATATATATATATATAACTGTTATAGGGACCCTCATCCTCAGAGAAAGAATAAACTTGCTTCAGGGAAAACTCAAGATTCTCCCTAAAGCTGTTTGAGAATTTTCTCCTACCACCCCCTATATTATATATATATATATATATTTTATTTAAAGACAAAATACATTGACAAAACATTCACAAAAATATGATACAAAGTAAAACAACATAGGTAACTCAGAGCTACATCTCGAATACTTCGTCCAGCTCCCCGGCGGTGGGCCGCGTGCCCAGAATGCTGCAGGCATTTCCTCTCTGGATCGCAACACTGAGTCTCTGAAAGAGGAAGCTGGTCGCCCTGTGGTCCTTGGTTTCTATGATGAGCTTTTCACCTAGCTCTTTGAGGAACTTTAGAGCACACTTGTCCCATGCTCCAAGGGTCTCCGACCCTATTGGAATAAAGTTATAGCAAGGGGGAAGGTCTTCATATTTGCGGATCTTCTGAGTCTCCCTGTGGCTGGCAGCTCCAACCCCTTCCACTACGGAGTATGGCAAGTAGGTGTCTGCCAATGTGGCGGCACATGTGTAGTCCCAGGCAATCTGCTTTCCATCCTTCCAAGGTAGCATAGTGGCTCCATCAGGACGCTTTAAACTTCCATCAGACCTCTGCACTTGGGGTTCCCGTTGAGCTGGGCAACGGGCTGTGGCGAGGCTTCTCTTTATGATGTCATTGACCTCCTCATGCCTGGCATACTTCCCTTCTGCTGTGTGACACACGAGACCATGAAGTCCGAATTGATCAGCTGTCGCCCTGCCGCAAATACACCTATGTTCGGTGAGGATGGGGGCGGCTAGGCGAAGAGCAACACCAATCCGAATGGCCTGTGGGTCTAGTCGAGTGCCCAAGGAGGAATTGGGAACAGCAAACAGGAAATCTCCTGAGTGTGGTGCCTTCACTGCCAGGAGACGAGCTTTGTCCTTTCCTGAGGCGTTGGAGAGCATTGTGTTGGCGATTTTTTCCATGATCGGTTTGTCCCAGTGGGACTGTTTGTGTTCTTTGGGAGGAGCTGGTCTACTGGAGGAATCTGTAAGGGTGTCCCACCGAATCGCTGCTTCAGTAAACCTGGGGTCTTGAGCTCCTACCATGTCTCTCAAGCGTTCGGGAACAATCTTCTTGACTAATGCACTGGAAGCCAAACACGAAGACAGAAAAGCAGGTAAAGCAACATGCGTTGCTTTGCGCACCCCTATACCTCCCAGTCGTACTGGGAGGTTTGCCTGATCCCATTGCTGATCCTCTAGTGACAGGTTCAGTGCCTTCTTAAGGGTTGACCTCAGGTGTGCGTCATATTCGTCAAGTGTTGGGTTGTCAAAAGAGGGTGCACACCTCAGGAAGTAAGTGAGTCTTGGAATAGTAAGACACCTTGTGAGGAGATACAGAGCATCATGGGCATCAAGATTGCTTATTCTCTCCTCCATTCTCATCAGGTCATTCAATTTGTCCTTGAGGACTGTGTCGATGGCCTGGTGACCCAGCGGTGCTCCCAAGAGGGTACTGTTGGACGGAGTGGAAGTAGAGACTTCTGGGAGAATTCTTCGCACAGCATTGATTATTTATATATATATATATATATATATATATATATATATATATATATATATATATATATATATATATATATATATATATATATATATATATACATATATATATATATATATATAAAACTTCATCCCAATAGGGTCGGAGACCCTTGGAGCATGGGGCAAGTGTGCTCTAAAGTTCCTCAAAGAGCTGGGTGAAAAGCTCATCATAGAAACCAAGGATCACAGGGCGACCAGCTTCCTCTTTCAGAGACTCAGTGTTGCGATCCAGAGAGGAAATACCTGCAGCATTCTGGGCACGCGGTCCACCGCCGGGGAGCTGGACGAAGTATTCGAGATGTAGCTCTGAGTTACCTATGTTTTTTTTTTACTTTCTGTTGTATCTTTGAGAATGTTTTGTCAATGTATTTTGTCTTTAAATAAAATATATATTAAATATAGGGGGTGGTAGGAGAAAATTCTCAAACAGCTTCAGGGAGAACCTTGAGTTTTCCCTGAAGCAAGTTTATTCTTTTCTCTGAGGATGAGGGTCCCCAGGACAGTTCTATAGGTGGTACCTACCTATATTATAATATATATATATATATATATATATATATATATATATATATATATATATATATATATATATATATATATATATATTTATATATATATATATATATATATATATATATATATATAAAACAATGAAATTAAGCAAGTGTGCCCTAGATAATATAAACATATTTTCTGTCTGCATTAATTAATGTTTACCTCATCACCTGCATGTGCGCAGTTTAGTGTTTTAGTTATACCTCATTACATACATGTATACACGTGAGTTTTAGGCGATCCTTATCACTATATGTATATATGTGACTGCATATGTGTATCTCATTACCTACATGCGTACATATTAGCGGTATGTGTACCTTATCACCTACATATATAAATGTGAGCGTTAGATGTGTACTTCATTACGTACATGTATACATATATACATGTGAGCATTTTCATTACCCTGGAAGACTGTGAACTTTATCCATGTATTAAATGCAGTTATCATTGGTGTACAGTGGCAGTATAACCCTTATCTGCTTAACACTACTTATAATAATAACAACAAAAACAATAACAATAATAATAATAATAATAATAATAATAATAATAATAATAATAATAATATTTGTGCAGCTGTGGTTGATGGGGATGACGTATGGAGGAACATTATTCGTGACGTTGATGATCTACCCAGCGGTGGTAGTGTACATCACCTCAACTTCAGCAGAGTCTCCCTGGAGTGAAGTGTTCTTCCAGCCTACCATCACCTTCCTCTTGTTCAACCTGGCAGACTGGGTGGGCAGGGAGACGCCACGCTGGGTACCCTGGGTGAGTCAATATCTACCTCATCTCATCCTAGGTTACTGCTAGATTATGATGTCGGTAAGCGGACTCACCATCCAAGGCAAGGGAGCTACTTTTCACTTCCTTGCATATGATTACCTTACATTATATTTGGTGTTTACAGGCCCCATCCTGGAGTATGCAGGACCAGCATGGAGCCCACATCTGAAAAAGTGCAAAGGAACTATGTGGCCTCTATGGGTATACCGCTCTCTCTGTGAATATAAAATTACCCTTTTTTTCTGGATATTACTGTTTGCGTGTTCTTTATCTGGAGGTCAAGTTTCAGCTCATCTCTCAGAAGTCGCGTTTATCAATTAGGCTATCTGTATTGCTATCTGTCTCGAGCGATAACAACTAGACATGCTATCATAAAAAACTGGTCTTAAATATTCACAATAAATGCAAAAATAGAGACAAATAAAGTGATGAACTACTTATACGAGTGTAACACCAGTAGCAACCAGTCATCCACATAACACCAGTAACACCATCAGTATCACACCGTAGCACCCACCAGTAAACACCACCATAACACCGTAACACCAGAAACACCAGTCAAACCAGTAACACACGTACTACCAGTAACACCACATAACACCAGTAAACAGTAACACCACAGTAACACCAGTAGACCAACAGTAACACGTAACACCACATAACAGTAAACCACCAGTAACACCAGTAACACCACCAGTAACACCACCAGTAACCCACCAGTAACACCAGTACACCACCAGTAACACCAGTAACACCACCAGTAACACCAGTAACACCACCAGTAACACCAGTAACACCACCAGTAACACCACCAGTAACACCAGTAACACCAGTAACAGCACCAGTAACACCACCAGTAACACCAGTAACACCACCAGTAACACCAGTAACACCAGTAACACCACCAGTAACACCAGTAGCACCACCAGTAACACCAGTAACACCACCAGTACACCAGTAACACCACCAGTAACACCAGTAACACCACCAGTAACACCAGTAACACCAGTAACACCACCAGTAACACCAGTAACACCACCAGTAACACCAGTAACACCACCAGTAACACCAGTAACACCACCAGTAACACCAGTAACACCACCAGTAACACCAGTAACACCAGTAACACCACCAGTAACACCAGTAACACCACCAGTAACACCAGTAGCACCACCAGTAACACCACCAGTAACACCAGTAACACCACCAGTAACACCAGTAACACCACCAGTAACACCAGTAACACCACCAGTAACACTAGTAACACCACCAGTAACACCACCAGTAATACCACCAGTAACACCACCAGTAACACCACCAGTAACACCAGTAACACCACCAGTAACACCAACACAGTAACACCACCAGTAACACCAGTAACACCACCAGTAACACCAGTAACACCACCAGTAACACCAGTAACACCACCAGTAACACCACCAGTACACCAACACCACCAGTAACACCATACACCAGTAACACCAGTAACACCACCAGTAACACCACCAGTAACACCAGTAACACCACCAGTAACACACCATACACCAGTAACACCACCAGTAACACACAGTAACACCACCAGTAACACCAGTAACACCACCAGTAACACCAGTAACACCACATACACAGTAACACCACCGTAACACCAGTAACACATAACACCACCAGTAACACCAGTAACACCACCAGTAACACACCAGTAACACAGTAACACACCAGTAACACCACCAGTAACACCATCCAAGTAACACCAGTAACACCACCAGTAACACCAGTAACACCACCAGTAACACCATACACCACCAGTAACACCACCAGTAACACCACCAGTAACACCAGTAACACCACCAGTAACACCAGTAACACCAGTAACACCACCAGTAACATCAGTAACACCAGTAACACCACCAGTAGCACCAGTAACACCACCAGTAACACCACCAGTAACACCAGTAACACCACCAGTAACACCAGTAACATCACCAGTAACACCAGTAACACCAATATCACCACCAGTAACACCAGTAACACCACCAGTAGCACCAGTAACACCACCAGTAACACCACCAGTAACACCAGTACACCACCAGTACACAGTAACACACCAGTAACACACAGTAACACCACCAGTAACACCAGTAACAACCATAACACCACAGTAACACCACCAGTAACACCAGTATCACCAGTAACACCACGTAACACCAGTAACACCACCAGTAACACAGTAACACCACAGTAACCCCACCAGTAACACCAGTACACCAACCAGTAACACATAACACCACCAGTAACACCAGTAACACCACAGTAACACCAGTAACACCACCAGTAACACCAGTAGCACCAGTATCACCACCAGTAACACCAGTAACACCACCAGTAACACCAGTAACACCACCAGTAACACCAGTAACACCACCAATAACACCACTAACACCACCAGTAACACCAGTAACACCAGTAACACCACCAGTAACACCAGTAACACCAGTAACACCAGTAACACCACCAGTAACACCAGTAACACCAGTAACACCACCAGTAACACCAGTAACACCACCAGTAACACCAGTAACACCATGGGCTGAACTCATGGCATCATTTACCAACAAGATATATATTATCAGTTAAATTTTTCTTCTGTGATAGTTATCGCTTATCTTCTGTTAGGAGTCAATGTCTTGGGTAGCTGAAAAAAAGACCTGATTTATCAGTTGATTTCGTTTTTAGTGAAATACGTCTTAAATACGTCAAGTAAATTGTTTGAGGATACTTAAAATACACACAATGGAATACAATGTTAATTTTTAAAGGGGTGGACAGGTAAGCCAGTGGAAGGCCTCGGTCAGATGAGCAAAATCTCCAGTGGCAGGTCATCAAGAAACACTTGTTCTGTTTCCTGACAAATATTACTTAAACTAATGGGTAACAGTATATTAATCAAACGGGTCGTGGAAAGAGTAAGACCTGAGTCTGGACTCTGCAATGACGAATTTATAACAACAATAACAATTGCACAGTATAATTTATAACGAAAAAGTTAACAAAACATTCATTTGGGCATTAATTTTATATCCAGAAACGTCAGAAATATTTGTTTATTGAGAACCAAGAACATAATTAACACTTATTTAGTACGGTACTTCAATCTAAATCATGTACTTAGCTTAATAAATATCCAGGTTGTGGAAAATACTGTATATATTTTCCAGAAATTCAGTATTTGTATGTAAATAGATGGCCATACTGTATTTAATAATATTTATGTCATAGAAAACGGAAAGCCTGCGTCTGCGCAGACGAGGCTGGCCAACTTGGTTTTGAATTGTGTACAACGTTGGTGTGATGGGAAGGAATTTTCGTGCTCTAGAGGTTGAAATTGGGCTGACACCTCTCAAATAGGAGGCGAAATTGTTGGACATGCATTCCTGCATAACTTGAGATATCAGACGACTGGACAAGACAGCTCCAGGAACCTCAGATAAGCTCTCTAGATTTGTGTATAATTCTGGCCAGTGTTTTCATAAATTTAGTTAGTGAGGTTTTTCTGAGTATGATACAACTTAATATCCAGTCAAATTTTTGAGTGATATTAAGATATATTTTCCTTCTGTTATGTAATTGTGTTTATATATAATCATTTTTTAATATACAGTCCACAAATTTATATATTTACCAGCATTCCTGGTGTATGTATATTTCATTTAATTAATAGGTCTAGACTAGAGCAACTTGTGGATATGACAGTGGTAGGTATCGAAGGGGGACATTTTTTGCGACCTAAGTGTCCCAAATTCCTACTTGTCTAACTGATAAATAATAGTTATCATTGTTCATTTACTGTTGTGTATATAATTATACATTCAAGTAAATGCAATTTTCCACACAGGTTATTATATTCAGTTAAACAAATACATTTAACAATTATAGTTATTTTACTCTTAACTAGAATAAATCACTTCAGAAACGGAGTTTCCAGTTGGGAATCTCAGAAGAATAAGGAACAGAAACACCAAAGCTGTGGTCAACATGATTTTTTTATCAACTCGTTTCGGTTTCTCGAACTTAGTCATTAGTACAACACAATTAACAACAGTTACAAAGCCTAATAGATCTTTTCTATTAAATTTTTTTTTTCAATTTCTAAAATCATAAAATTAAGAATATAATTTATGTTCACAAATAAATAGTGTTACAATAAATAACAGAACATTTCTCCTAACACAGTGTTATATACTCAAGGTAGTAGATTTGTCGGTATAATCGCCTGGCCTGGGCCTTTTCCAAGAGGTGGCCCGGCCTTGGCTCCCTCTCGTGGGAGTGTCTCAGACTAATGTCTGCCATGGGAGGAGGTACAAGTACCTACTTGTCTTCTGGGACCAGCTGTCCCCAGGCCTAGCCCCATTCCCCGCTCCCACGAAGCTCGGAAAGAGAAGCTAGGCACCTTAGGCTGCGACAGACCACGCCCACACTGAGCTTGAAGGGTAAGGCAGCTGCATAGCAGAAGACGATGTCAGGAGATGCAAAGGCAGCAAACAATACAGGATCCTTTTCGAGTCACACCCCAGCTTTGGGCATTAAACCCGAGAGCTGGTGAAGCTCAAGAATGCCTCTTGCTGTGTGTGTTGTTGCTGCTACTTGACTTGTCCGTTGCACTCTAAGCACCTTTGGATAATATATCCTCCATCTTGCTAATGTGATGGAAGGTACCAGGAATAAATCGATAAAGCTCCTGAAGTCATGGACGCCCCAGACACAGTCTCATAATGAGACTTCGCAGTCCCTGCTGCATCATTTAATCTACTTGACTTTTCCCTCGGGAGAATTATTAATGACGGGTCTTCACTCGATCTTAAGAACTGTGACAGGACGTTTTTGTTACTTGCTCCGAAAGCCACAACTGAACAACTCTTATTTTAGTCATCAGTACACAGAGCAAGTGCTTTCTGACACAGATATTGTTCATTTAGATGACCCCACAA